ATCAAGTGTGTTTATGCAGCGTCAAGAAGAGGCCCAACTTTTGTTTTCGCATTTCCACCCTGCCCCCCCCCCCCACCCTGAACCCCCACACCCCGCATCGCCGTAACGCTCTTTGTACTGGTTTTATTTGCAACGAGGGAAAGAGGCGGCGCCCCGAGGAGGAATTATGGCCAAAGTGTGTGCCTTGCAAGTTTTTACCCTCACTGCCCCCCCCCCCCCCCCTCCCTGCAGCAAATGTTTATTTGAACAGTAAGCTCGTGATTTGAATATTTGTAATCCGTGCTTAAATTTACAGGCCAGATGAACTTTTTGGCACAGAGCGGCAACCATAAGCAGGATTTTCTCAAAAAGCTCGACAAAATTTTAAGCCATGTGCCAGTCTTATATAATTTTACACCATGCCACGAAAGGGGGGGGGGGGCAAACAGCCCGACATCCATCTTATTTACTTTTGCTGTTGCTCTAATACTAGCATGTGCCAGACACCCATGCAGATAGACATCTTGTTTGGCATGCAGGTTGTTTGCAAGGAAGGAAGAAAGGAAAAAATGGGAGGAGTGAAACAAGGTAGTGAGGAAGGCTGGGAAGAAATGAGAAAGAAAAGATGGGGCCTGGAGACAGGAAAAAACAAAAAAGAAAAAAAAGATGAAGTACAGAAGCAATTAAAAAGTAAGGAAGGAAAAAGGAAAAAAAACAAGGAAGGGTGAAGGCAATGGGACAAAGAGGAACACCGTATAAAGACGGAGTGAAAGAAGGAAAGATTGAAGGAAGGAAGGAAGAAAGGAAGGAGAGCAAGAACAACAAAGGTGGAAGGCCACTTGGAGGAATGAAAGAAGGGAGGAAAGAAGGAAATGGGAAGGAAGGAATCAACACAGGACCAAAGACACATTCATTCATTTGATTGTCTGCTTCCTCACTCTGTGAATGTGTGTGTGTGTGTGTGTGTGTGTGTGTGTGTGTGTGTGTGTGTGTGTGTGTGTGTGTGTGTGTGCGCATGTGTGCGTTAACATATTGTGTTTACGTGTGTAGGGATGCGGAGGAGTTGTGTGTGTGTGTGTCTGTGTGTGCGTGAACATATTGTGTGTGCGTTTGCAGGGATGCGGAGGAGTTGTGTGTGTGTGTGTGTGTGTGTGTGTGTGTGTGTGTGTGTGTGTGTGTGTGTGTGTGTGGGTGTTGTGTGTGTGTGTGTGTGTGCGCACCCGCACGCATGTGTGTCTGCGTAGAAAGCAGTTGGGTGAACAGATGAATGAATGGTTGGCCTCCGTGGTGGTTGGCACTTGGCGGCGCGAAAACGCTTCTCTTGGAGAGCATTAAAATATACATTAAGACGCAAGCACAAACTGTTCTCCTGTCGCCGTTCGGCGTGAAAGGTTCTGACACGAAACGGGGGTGTGCGAGTCCACCAATTTGCCCTGATGTCAAAGCAAAGTGATCCTCAAAAGACGAAAGCAGCAAAAACAAGGCCACTTTTCAAAATGCGGTCACGGATACAGTATACGCAGAGCTGCCACTTGTCACGGATTGTCCGTATTTTGTCAGCAAAATCACCGAACGCTAATTGGTGATGTCTCCGAAGTGGTTACTAATTGTGACGTATATTTTCGAAAGACACGTCGCCGCGCGAACAGGTTGAAAGCTGGCAAAAAGAGTTCAGCGATCACCGCGATGTGTGTTTGAAAAGACGCCAGATGCAGTCGCGCCGTCGTTCCACCGCTCGTCTGCGGTGGCGTCGCGCTCACGCTTTCGCACTGATTTGAGGCCGATCGCCGATCGCCTCAAGCCTGAATCGATTCATAGCAGCGGCGAGGAACAAGTTGTGGACCGCTGCCTTTCTTGTTTGTGCTTGAACATTGTTGGAATGTCAGTGTTAGTAAATTCTTGGTGATTTCTTGAGTCTTTGAAGCATGAATGAGTGAAATTGCAATGCCTTCATTCTGTCAGGTGAGGGAAGAACACACACAGACACCGCCAGAATGCCAATTGTACTCATCATGTTTTATGCTGGGTAGAATGAAGAAGTAAGTGTGTGCGCGTGCGTGTGTGCGTGTGTGTGTGTGTGTGTGTGTGTGTGTGTGTGTGTGTGTGTGTGTGTGTGTGTGTGTGTATTTATATATGTAGCGTATTGGCCTGAATATAAGACGGCCCTGATTATAAGACGACCCCCTCTTTTTCAAGACTCAAGTTTGAAAAAAGACTTTTTGAACACCAAATTCATTTTTATACAGAAAATAATGACAATACATCTGAAACAAATGATTAGAACAATATATTTGAGAGAAAAAGCATGTTATTTTACCTCATTCAAATCTTAATATCTGAACATTTAAATATGTAAACTAAAGTGCAATCACATTCGTAAATGTGGTTTTTGAAATGTAAATGACATCATAACTTCCCCTCAGCTGCCGGTTAACCTGGCCGATCTTCGACCCACCTTTCTCCAGATTGTCGCTACGTTTCTCCATTTTCTGTTATCTCTTCTATTATTTTCTTCTCTTTTCTTTCTTACCGCTATTTTTTATTTTTCTTCTTCGTGCTACCACTATTTTTATTTTTATTCTTCATGACAGGGGTTCGCTTTGGCCTAGGGAGTCAAGCTCAGCATTTGCTTCAATGATATCTGGCGCCATCGAGCCTCGTGAATGGGTATAATGTCTAGACCCCGAACATAAGACGACCCCCACTTTTTCAGTCTTATTTCAATGCAAAAAACATATTGTATGTATATTACGTATATACACACACACACACACACACACAATGATAAAAATCTGCCAAGTGATGCTTGCAATGTGAAATTTGAATGTGGAATGCCCAAAATGAGCATATTAAGAGTACACTACACTTTTCCGGCGTGCCTTCTCCACCCGCACACAAACACCCCCTCATGGACACACAGGGCAGGAAACAATAGCGTGAAGACAGCCGAGTTTAAAGCGGTAAAGTAATAAGGCGGGAGCACTCAAGTGTTGTTGATTCCACAAAAGATGCAGAGGGAAAATGCACACGTCAGAACACCAAGCACACACGTTCAAAGTGCAATATACACACGGAGGGTGGAACACACATCAACACACGCGTGCAGTGTCTCATCCAGAGCAGGGTTGTGTGTCTGGCAGCGGATTTTTGAGCGCGTGTGTGTGTGTGTGTGTGTGTGTGTGTGTGTGTGTGTGCTGGGATGTAATTCATTTTCCATCTCTGTTCATTAATCATTGTTAAAATTAGTGATCCATTTCTTCCACTCTGCCATCTGCACTCAGCCTCCTCACAAACATGAACACCGGCCTCCTAATCACAAGTGACAAGGCCTCCAAATAGCTTTTTTTTTTTTCCCTCCCCCTTCCGTCACACTCGAGCCGTCCGACCGACCGTCCAAAAGAGGAGGCCCGAAAGACGGCAGATGCGTGACGCTACTCGGAAATCAAGCACCTTTTTGAACATGAACTGAGGCTGAACGCCAGCTCTGCTTTAGCAAACAGAACATCTCCAATGAATCCGAGCTGACATTGTCGATCGACATGTCGACATGCGATGCTCATCTGCAACGTTTCGACGTGCCGTGCGCGCCCGTTTCCCGTTCAAATGTGCCACGTTGTCTTGTCGTTGTTGTTCCACTTGACGCAAAGTTCAGCTGTCAATCAAGTGATATCTCTTAAAAGTCGTCCCACTAACGACTTCCTCGTGGGGAGGGGGGCGCGCAGATATGGAGGCGAGTCTGCACAAGGGCCACCCGCATCTACACACACACACACACACACACACACACACACACACACACACACACACACACACACACACGTACAAAGCCATTATGTTGCCTTAAGTCACAATCTAAATTGGCTCCCAGGGGCCTCCGACTACCTTGTTCACCAAAGGCGTTGTGTGTTTCCTGAGTACTGAGCGCATATGCTACTGTAACCTGAGACCCCCACAAAGCGCGCACACACACACACACACACACACACACACACACACACACACACACACACACACACACACACACACACACACAACACGGATAAAAACACACAATGCTATTGGGAGTTAGCAGTTCTGTTTTGCAAGTGTTCTCCATCAGGACTGTCAAAATAGTTTGGTCTTTTAAAGCAACACACACACACACACACACACACACACACACTCTCTCACGTCCTCATGAATTTTGCAGTTTTATAAGGGAAAATAAATCTCATAAACATTTGACACGCTAGCTGGCCATATGTTTTCACACCAGCTGTTCGTATCCTATCCCTAATTTTAAAAAACGTGTGTATAATTATATATATAAAACGATATATAAAAATACTATATATATATTATATGTTATGTGTGTATGTGTATATTCTCTGTCTGTCTTTCTGCTTTATGTATAAAAAGGTTTGTTTTGAATTTAATCCATTCTCATTTGAAATAGTTGACTCCAAAATGTAAACTCTTCTGAATAATAAACTCTTCGAAACAATTTGGAAGCCCTAACTCTACCTAAGAAAACCTTGACTTGATAACGCGTTATCCAGCAGTACGTTGGCCTGTTGACTGTTAGCATGTCAGCATGTTATCAACTCTCATTTGAAATAGCAGTGATAAAGTGTGATTTGTTGTTCCCGTCTAATTTAAATTAGCCTTCGGGCTTCATGTACTTAAAGTGTTCTATCATTCTGTGTGTTAGCATGTGGAATCTTTGCAATTTTTTGGGAATAAGATGTTACATTGTGTCTTGTCGGTCTACTTCGCACCTTCTGTACTCAAGTTGCTGTCTCGCGATGTGCAAGAACACAATCTGTTCGCATTTTCGCCCTTCTGCAATATTACCCGACTCCAGGGAAAACGTCAAATCTTTTTTGATCCACCCGCAGGCTTTCTCGTCGGAATGCAATCCGGCTCCAAGCTAGCATACTAACCGTCACTAATTATTGGCGCGTTCGCATTGCAGCTACCTGGTTGTTGTTGTTGTTGTCAAGCTCCCAATGAATTGACTGTAAATGTACTTTTTCTTGCAGACTGGTGTTGGCTGTCCGTCATCTTCCTGCCGCACGGCGAGAGCTAACGAGCTAACGAGCTAGCATTCGGTGTCTGTCAACAGGTAGGGTGGAAAATGCTTGTCGTTTCATCCATTATGTGTTTGACCGCATAAGCTGCTGATTGGAACACATTTGGGTGAGATTGGACAACAACAAACTTAGTGGAATGTTTCGAGACAACAATGTTCCCTTTGTTCGAGCAGTCCCACTCTTGGTTTTAAAATCAGTTTGGCGGCTTATTCTGGTGTGATAGAACGAGACTTGTATTGCTTTTGAATGGCATCGCAGTTCGACCAGCTTGTGGCACGTCCCAGTTTTTTGCTTTTCACGTTAGCACAAGACCCGTTGTTGATTTTGAAATCATTTTGAGAGATTGCCGTCGCGTGACGACGACCACCCCACGGGGAGAACAAGGCCACTGTTGCTTTGCAAGTCATGAGTCGGGCGCTTTGTTCGCGTCATTGACGTCACTTCCTGTTGGGGAAAGACAATCGGCCAGCATGGCAACAGCACACGTGGGTGCACCGCCACAATTTGCGTGGGTGCGCGCATGCTTGTCAGCCCGTGTGCGTGTGTGTGCGCGCGCCAGATTCTTAGTCAGACGGCCATTTTATTTTCAATTGATTGATGGCTAAGCAATTTGCCCAACAGAAAGCAGGTAGCCTCAAATAACACACGTTGCGTTCTCATATCAGTAAAAATATGTCAATATGATGGCACACATGTACTCATGATCTTACTCCTCATGACACTTTTTTTGTCATGTTATACTTATTTGTAATACACATTTTTTCTGGCCCCTTTTCCTGTGTTTTTCATATGACAGTATTGTTGCTCCAATTGTTGTAGTTGTTAATAATAGTATGAGGTGGTAGGGGGAGGCTGTTCATCCGAGGGCGGTGCATGCGCGCTGGGTTCCAGGCAGTTTGTGAAAATTGATCTGTGCGAAATTTCAAATCGATACAAGACTTTTTTTTTCCTTCCTCTGGGAAACTCACGGCCGATCTTTCGTCACCCCAAAGCAGATGCGTCACGCCGAAAGCGTTCAAAAGATTTGTGCGTGTTTATTCAAATCAAATACAACAACAGTCATCAGGATGACTATAAATGGAGCAAAACAGAATGTGAATACACTCACATGCACACACACACACGCACACACACGCGCGCGCGAGATTCAATAATTGTATTTATTTCTATTGAAATGCATCAGTACATGTGTGCAATGCAAATGGATAACCAAGTTAGAAAAAAATTGTGCTTTTTCAGGAAACACGGAAACAGTACATTTTCATAATTATTTCTTGATATTTATTAGAATTGATCCAATAAGAAAATACCGACACATACACCCAATTTTATTTTATTCTTTATTCTAATCAACATTTTGGGTCCAGATACATTTTTTTTTAAGTAGACTACACACCTGCTTGTACATCCATGTGTCTGGATCCAGAGGATTTTATTTCGTGCAACCACTTGATGAATAAATTCATCGTAGCATTTTTTTTCAGTGCAGAAATAACATGAAAAAAAAAAATGATATCATGTCTCTCGTTGATTTGATTTAAAGCGACCGTGCCTAGCTTTTGTCAGCCTTGGCCGGTATTCTGCATTAGAACGACAAAGCTGTCGTGTAATTCCAGAAAGATTTTATTCTGTTTTGAAAGACACCCGGTGGGGAGGAAAAAAAAATAGCATGGAATCTTCCGTAGAGACAATTAAATATGATTATTTTCTGCGACAGAAAAGCTAAATAATATGCTGAGTCAGCTGTCATTCCCTGGACGCTTGACAGAGTGGGAATGTTGCCGGGGGAGACAAAATATAAAACATCAAATACTGAAAGGAAGAAAAAAAAGGTTAGCGTTGCCGATGGGTTGAATAGAATCTCTTCTACCAATATCCCGGGTGACGGTGACTTTTTTTCGAACAAAACGTTATGCACTGCAGATATAATTCAACATGAATTTAGACAAACAGCTACAACGCATTACAGTGACACACACACACACACACACACACACACACACACACACACACACACACACACACACACACGACAAAAAGCATGATGGAAACATTTCCATATAAATATTAATCGATATGATTTCAACTTTATGAATGACAGAAAATGTTTTAAGTGTAATGTTAACATTTCTTAAAATGTAGTGAAAGTGTAAAAAAAAAAAAGTCATCCATTTTAATAATAAGCACACGCTTTCTCAAGGACATAATGTAAATATTAACATGATTGTATTAAAATATATTCAAATATCGTGTAACTGTAAAACACTAATAAATATAAAGAGACATTCATAAAAATAACATCATCCAAAAAAATAATTATACCAAGTACTGTGGTAGTGTTTATTTTAAAATGTGTGTCGTGATAAACAAAGTTAACCACTGTTAATACGAAAAATGTCAAGTTGTGAATGGTCCCGCCCACTTCCGGTCTGCACTCCAAATATGACCACAGTTGTGAAAGGCCCACACGGCAATCGGTTCACTTCAAGGTCCCCAAAATGACATCATGGAGGGACCATTTTAGTTACTTGGCATCTGGTCCACTTTCTTCTTTTTCGTCCTTCTTCGCATCTCCGGGGCTCCGTTAGCAGTTAGCGCTTCAGCTGCTCGGCGGGTATAAATAAGACGTGATTGGCATCCTGGCGGAAGTCTCTTCATGTCTTCATCTGACAGCCTTCATTTGCGGGACGAGTGTCACACTTGGCGGGAGTTAATGATGATAATTATTAGATTTTTTTTTTCTTACATGGCAGGATAATTATTTAAGAGCTTTTGTGCTCGTGGTCCTAATCAGCACACGCAGATTACAGAAAAGCGGTATGGCGACAGATGACACTCGGATGCTTCCTGCTGTACCTGGGTAGCATCGCATCATGTTTTTTGCAGCTAGCCGGCGCCTTTGGTAGCAAGCTGGTGTGTTTTGCTCGTCCAACTTGGTGTTAAAATTTTGTTCTGGTCAACCAGAGTATGTCAGTGGTTCCAGAAACACTCCCATTGCTATCATGTTATGTGATCCAAAAACAGCATTAAGAACGAGTTTCAGATACTTAAGTGAAGGCACCAAAAAAAAAAAAAAGAAAAAGAAAAAATATATTGTTAATTAAAGTAATGCAGTGCCCTGGCATGTGGGCAAGGAGAGCCACAGTCGCCAATGCACGTTTAGCTGTTTGGTGAATCGGACAACCAGTCGAAGACACCGCTGAAAAATGAAAACACTCCCTAGGAGCATGGAGCAGACGCTCACGCAAACGTCTCGCACTACTGACGTCCCTCACTCGGCCTTAAAGGCACGCAGCATATTAACGTATGAATCCAGATCATTTCTGCACCATTTTCTTCAATCATGTTGTGTAAGGTCTGAACAACACAGTATGTGAGCATGTTTGTTACACACACAGTTGGCTGTTGGTTGCTCGTATGCTATCAGGCGTGTTATGTTTCCAGAGCCTATGTCTCTGGCTCATATGTTTCATGATGAACAGGTGATCGCACATCACTTTCAAAGTTAGCTCGCTAAATGTATAGCTAGCTGAAGTGATTAGTAGGTAACATGCGTGCTGCGTACATCTGCCATGGCCTAGCACGGGGAACATCTTAATTACAAAACAATTTAGCCTGCGTCGTCATCCAATTTACGCTAGCAAAACAAAGGGGGAAGAGACTGGGGGTTGCATTGTTAATAAGAATTTTGAAGCATGCTGGGAGAGAAGACCTAAGTGACCTGTCACGTCTATTTGCGCCATCGCGCAGCCTGAGGATGACGCACCTCCTGAAGGGGGACAGGGCAGCGGTCAGAGGGGAGGGAGGGGGTTTGAAGGGGTGTGTGCCACTTTTGCTGAAAATGAATTGACTTCCTGTTTAGAGAAGCTAACTAGAAAGCGAGCGAGAGAACTTGTTATGCAGGGTCCGCTGGCCTACATTCCTGACTAATTGTATAATTGCTAAAGCTCTCCAAATGAGCAAAGCCCACCCGCC